AGTGGGGGTGGAAGGGGAGGTCAAAATACATTGCACTGTTCAAGAAATATATATATTCCATACTGCTGTGTGCCAAACATACTGCTATTTATTGGATTGGGGTGTGTTCAAAAGGGGGAACTATGGCGACAGTTCTTCTGAACCTACCTCAATGTGTGTAGACAAGCCTGTGGTCACTATGCATTGGGGTGACCTGAAGGTAAAATGGATTTTCCTGTCAGTGTAGATGCCCCCTAAGGAAATGTACTTTATAGAGCTATCATTTGCATTTTTACTCAGAAGGAAGTCTCACTACAGCCAATGACTTATCATTGACTTGGATGACGGAATAGTGGGCATGCTTATCAAATTTTCAGATAACACCAAATTAAGAGGAGTAACTAATATTCAAAGGACACACAGTATTCAAAATTACTTTAACAGATTGGGGAACTGGGCCAAAACTAACAAAATGACTTTCAACAGGAAGAAATGCAAGGACTATAATTAGCCAGAAAAAATGAAATCCACAGATGGCTGACACCTGGTTTGACAACAATAAATGTGAAAGAGATCTAGGAGTCTTAGTAGACAACAAGCTGGACATGAGTCAACAGTATGATGCAGCAGCTAAAAAAGCCAATATGATCCTAAGCTGCATCAATAGGAGTGTAGCATCTATGGAGATTATCGCATGAAGCTTCCCTCCCAATATAGTTGTGGCTTTTTAAACAACCAAAAATAGCAATGCTTCTTTTTGCATAACTGCACAATTGCAAATTGATAACAGGTTGATAATGAATTTTATTGTACAACATTATGTTCAGCCATTGCATTTGGGATTCACTCTCAGTTATCCAAAATTAAACTCCTTTGCACATGCATGGTTGCGGTCAATGAAAAATCAGTCCAGCAAACTAATTTTTTCTAGTGCTCAGTTTTCCCCATGGAAAAAGAACTTCCCCTAGTGAGGTAAATTAGAACGGACTGGCTACAGGATAGCTACCATCCAGTCACAAGGCTGTGCAATAGGATCCCACCATTACTGTGACCATCTGGCTTCTGTCCCACTATTTAAGAACAGTGTGATAATCTCCTAGATCAAGGAAAGTAATAGTATCACTCTATTCTGCTTTAGTTAAACCTCACCTAGAATACTGTGTCTAGTCCTGTGCACTGCAATTCAAAAGGGATATTGACAAGCTTGAGTATGCGAAAGGTCTAGAAAGCAGGAATAGCTTAGTGGTTGGGTATGTAGCTTGTGGAAGAGAAGGTTAAGGTGTGTCATGATAGGCAGGTTTACATATTTGAAGGGATGTAACATTGAGGATGGAACATGCTTGTTTTCAGCTGCTTCAGAGGACATGGAACAATGGATTCTAACTACAGAAAAAAGACATTCCACATAAACATTAGGAAGAACTTCCTGAGAGGAAGAGCTATTTGACAGTGGAATATGCTACCTCAGAGTGAGGTAGAGTCTCCTTCTTTGGAGGTTTTTAAAGAGAAGCTGGATGGCTATGGAAGGATGTTAGATTGGATGGCCCTTGGGGTCTCTTTCAACCCTATGATTCTATTATTCTATGAAGCTATGAATGACCCTAATTCGCAGGTGTGGCCATAGGCTTCACAACTAGACATCCAGGCAGTATCTATATGTTCATCAACCTGAGATAAAATTTCATATATCTGCTAAAGTGTGTCCATGAAAGCTTGAGGTATAATGAATATGTCATTTATTAAGATGCCACAAGCAAGGGTAGACAGCAAATTCATTGGGCTAATGTTTCCTTGTGGAAATATCCATTTTGTACTGGTATTCCTGAAGACTGACAGTGGTATGAAGTAAATATTGCATTAAAAAAATAATATCTTTCTAAGTCTCATGCTGCATTTCTATCAGCCACAGATGCATCTGAAAAATATACACAACTAAAAATACATACAGTAGGAAAGTGTGCACAAATATGTTTTAACCAATGGGAAGTACATACAAAAATGCATACCTTAGAAAAAAAATACATACCAAATGCTTACATTTTGAAATCAAAATATGTGCAATAATACTTTCAAATTTCTGAGTGTAAAGAAAAAGAAATCTCAGAATGTAATATGGAAGCAGGATGGCACAAACATTCTGGTAAAATTCTAAGAAACACATTAAAAATGAGTCAGATTTTCACATCTCTAACCACATGATTCTACTGTTTATTTCATGCATTTTTACTCAAAGTGAATCCTACAGTGGCGATTGCTCTCAACAAACTATATATAGGTTTACAGACTTTTTATCTTCAAAAGAAATCAAGGACCAGAGAGCAGTAAGTTGTAACACTGAAATATTGTAACTTTAAAGAAGAAAAGGAAAGAAGAAAGGGAGGAAATTTGCAAGTTTTAAGTAAATATGAATGCACTGTAATTCTAGTTCAGATTGTGGATCACAGCAGAAGAAACCTGTCATCAGCCTCTCTGAGGAGCCCTCAAAATCTGACAGTCCATGCATCACATCAGTGAATGCTTTGTGTGTCTTTCCATCAGGATATCTTGGTTTTACACAACTTCTGTTGCTATAGCCTCTCACAGCTTTCTCTTGGATTGGAAGATAATCAATTACCAGAGGACGGGGATGGGAAAATCTGTCTTATTTCCTCCAAATCCAAATTGTTTTAAACCTCGGTTTCTTTTCATCCCAACACATGATCTACAATTTTTGGCAAATTCTTTAAAAAGTGGAATAAATCCTTTCCCATTTGTACCAACCATGCACTGTCAGGGAGCTTTCTTCATATTGCAGCCACAGTTCAGCCCCTGGAAAAACACCCCATGTGTCATGTGTGATGTTGGTAAGCCCACACAGAATGTTTTCCTTTATTATGGAAACAACCAAAATAACTGAGCACTTTTTGCCACCTTTCCAGCTGCTGAAATATGTTCTCCCCCCCCCA